GGGAGGGTCTAGTCAGTATTGCGGTGGGGGACCACGCGAGAATCCTAGATGCCGTAGGTTTTTTTGCGTTTTTTTTTGCTGGAAAGTTGGTGACAGTGCGGCGGTCTAGATGCTCGTAAAGCATGTCCATAATCAGCCTTTGCAGTACTCGACCAAAGAAGATTCGTGTTCGACACTGTTCAGTTACCATCCAGTCCCACTCGGAAGTGGATTGACGCTTGAAAAGATACTTGTGTCTATGCAGTCATTTATCAGTACGTCTACTCGTAGTGTCTAGTCTTGAAGCCAAGAACCACTAGCAATGACGATCGCCCTTGCGAATTTGTTCGATCTCGCACACTGCCAGAATAGCTTTCGCTGGCGTGCATACTCACTTCGAAATTGTTTGAAGAGTGTGCGCAAATAAATGACTGTGGACCTCTCGCGCGTTCCCAGTGAGAGAGCCCGTTCAGCTCACAGGGCGCTACGTCGGGACGTTCGCGCAGTTTGGCAACTCCAATGGTGAATTCTGGTGCAATTCTTGCCCTGCCTGCGGTCGCATGGCCTCAAGGAAGCCCGCTTCCGCCGCCATTGTGGCTCGTCTAGTTGCCCATGCTTTCTTCCTACCTCTTTATGATCGGATGATGCCTCAGAGGCACGCTTCACCGCTATGGCCGGGGGGCGCCGGTGCCGGTGCCGGTGCCGGCACCTGTTCGGCGCGAGAGCATTGTTCAGGCGCCGAGACTCTCTAAGGTAGACCATGCGGTGGGGTTCGGCACTGGTACGTCGAATGAAGAGAGCCCTGCTCGACACTCGTGATCGGTCATGCACGCTGAGTCTTTGCGGGACCATATCGTGTCGAGCTGGGGTGGCTTCTCCACGCAGCCCCGCTGGTGGCATGAGGCTGCCAAGTATGCGGCTATGCGAGTGCTGCATTCACCAATTTTTGGCGGTGAACGGCTTTGCGCAATGCGCGTTTGCTTCGCACCAAGCGTACCCCGCGCTCACCAGGGAGACTACTCGCCGCGACGAGCATTGGGCTTGCACATCCCACTGCACCTGCCCCACTCAGCGATGCAGAAGACAAAAAGCCAGGGAATTGTCGGCAGCAAATCGCGAAAACAATGCGGTCACGCTCAAGTTGTTTGCAGTGAATCTATTGGTTTAAACGAAGCGCGTATGAATATTACAAGGATAGCAGGTGTCAAGACGAGCGAGTGTGGGTGGTAACTGCGATGGTGAAGGAAGACGAATGAGGTAAGAGTGAGTGTCGCCTGGAGTAGGCGCAAACGTGGCGTGTCGGTGGATTTGTTGGAATGAGAGGCTTGCAGCGGTTGGTCGGTCCAAGCCTCGAACTTATGCAGCGCCAATGGCCTTCTCGAGGTCAGTGATGCCGAGCTTGTCCTCCAGAGCGGTGACGGCACCTCCAGTGGCCTTGTCGAGCAGAGCGTCAATGTCCGTAACTCCGAGAGCATCCTCAAGGAGCTTCACGGCGTTTCCGATCTTTTGAATGTCGCCGGGGGCCGCTCGCTTAGCTGCGCCGATGCCCTTCTCGAGATCCGTGACGCCGAGCTTGTCCTCGAGCGTTGTGATGGCGCCGCCGGTCGCGTTGTCGAGCAGAGCATCCAAGTCCGTCACGCCAAGAGCATCCTCAAGGGTCTTGACGGCAGAGCCGATCAGCTGGAGGTCTCCGGAGCGCTTGGCAAGACCCAGAGCCTCTTCGAGAGATGTGACGCCCAGCTTGTCTTCAAGAGCAGTAACAGCGCCGCCGGTAGCCTTGTCAAGCAGAGCATCGATGTCCGTGACGCCGAGAGCATCCTCCAAGGTCTTGACGGCCTTGCCAATCTTGACGAGGTCGGAGTCGGCACGCTTAGCGAGTCCGATGGCCTCCTCCAGCGAAGTGATGCCCAGCTTGTCCTCAAGAGCAGTGACCGCGCCGCCAGTGGCTTTGTCAAGCAGGGCGTCGATGTCCGTCACGCCGAGGGCATCCTCCAACTGTCGACGAAAGCATAGTTCAAAGTCAGAGAAATGAAGAGAAAATCGACGGTGAGGTGCGTCTGTACTCACGGTCTTGACGGCCTTGCCAATCTTGACGAGGTCAGAGTCCGCGCGCTTCTCAACGGGGACGGCAGAGGCGAAGCCAGCGAAGGCAACGACGGCGAGAGCAGCGGGGGCAGCGAAACGCATTTTGATAGGTGAAAGTGGGTTGGATTAGGGTGGGTTTGATGGGCGTGTGTTGAGGTAGGTGAGGTGAACGGTTGAAGAGACCGAGTGCAGTGAGGGAAGAACAGGAATGAATGAATACATCCGAAGCCCCTCTTTATAGCTTCTGTTGACCAGTCGGATGTGTGTACCATCGGCTAGCCATAGACGGCTCGGTTCCATGGAAAGTCATGCGACGACTATCGTCAGAGCTCCAGCCCCTGACCAGCTAAGACTAGGCTCAGCGACTCATTGTCAAGTGTCCGCACACGAACGTGCGGGTTGTGTGGGCTTTGGTTAGGAGAGATAAGAGTGGACGCTAGTGACTGACTACGTCGTACGGATGTGACAACCTGATGGGGGTGGTCGGGCGAGCGCTGCCTGTGCTAATCATCCGCTGTAGGGAACTTTGAGCGAGATTATGCAAACGCAGGCCAAGAGAAGCTAGAGGGGTCGTCGAATGTTGAATGTACAGACCTGTATGACCACGCTACGACAGCGTAGGTGTTCGGTCATTTCCACGGTGAATCGCCATTGGAGGAGGCCCTCTGCCGGTCATGGCCTGAAGTCTGCTGCACTTCGGCACTGGGTATGCGCGCGTGAGAGGTTTAGATTGCGCAGCATGAGATCTTCCTGCTGCTTGCAGACGGAAATGCGCTCAAGAGGCAAGGACGTGCGACGGACAGGCAACGGGGTGGGTGTCCACCGATGTATGCGGTGGTCAGTCAGGTGGTGTTTGTGAGGGGGAGGAGACAGAAGGATGGTTTCTTCGATGATGAAAATGTCGCATTAGCGTCGTAGAGATAAGGCAAGCGTCGACCAATAAAGCGGATCGCACGCGTCACGTCACGTCCTGCACAGCCGGGTCGTGAATCGCACCCTCTGACTGCCCCAGCGCCTCAAGCTGCATCAACCGGAGGTCGGACCGGAATTCGACGCGTGGACGCAGATGCAACGCTCGCATGCATCTACCGTACATGCACATGCAGCTGCTCTTTCAAAACTCACCACGGACGGTGACGGAGGGCTGGACCGGTGATGCAACGGTGCGCTAGCTCATTTTGCGGGGTTCATAGGGGGTCCAGCATTTAGAAATTCGAGGGAGAGCGTTTCGTGTGTTCTGGTGCTCCACAACATCTCGAAGCATCGTCACTTCATTCTGTTGGTGGGACGCATGCGACTTTCTGCGCTCAATCACACGATCTTTTCGGCCATCGGATGAGCTTGCCTTGGGTCGACCGTCACTCGCAGGTCACAGCAGCACACCTGCGGGATGGTGCGGTATAGAGTATCACACGCAATTGTGAATCACGAGCAATGTTGCGCCGCGTCACTTTGCCTCGGCCTCTGCATTTAGAGCTCGATTTTGCGGTCCGCGAATCTTCGGAGCTTGCGCAGCTTGCAGGAAATTTCGGCGTCTTGCTTCTGCTCATCCTATCCATCAGGAAGTATGTCCCTCCTTTGGCCCCTTTGAACAAGCAAAGTACGGCACACATTCAAAGCCTCGCGAGGGTGGGTCGTGCGACAGCTGCGGGAAGCCTGGGCAACGCGATCAACATCCAGTGGCATGTGGGGCCTTGGAATGTGCCGTAAAGAGTGGCCAACAGTCTCGCGACGGGCGCTGCAACCCCTACGCTTCCTACACATCTGTGTATATACCGCCAATGCTCACAGCAGGACGGAGTCCGACGATCCTCCTTGCACAACCTCCGCAGGTCGTTACGCAACCCAGATTCAGCATAGTCGACTCTTGCTTGCATCTCAGACCATTCCCATCTGCCATTCGTGCTTGACGCTACGTCGACGCGGGACGCAGCATGACCACATTTACAAGCATCTGAGTCTCAAAAGGCGGAATTCGGCTTCTTTTGCTGAGCTTCAAAAACTCACGGAGATTATGAGAAACTCCGCCGGTGCGTGTGAAGCTTAGCAACAACATTTTGTAAGTTGTTGCCGTTGATTCTTGATGCCTTGCAGCCCAGCGCAAATTCAACGACGATTGAGGTTCAGACGGCGACCTGTACCGCTATCGCTACAGCAGTTCACGATCCGAATCGCCGCGTGAATTGCGACGATCTCGCACAGCTCTCAGCTCCGATTCTGGGTCGCCGGTGCGATGCATTTGCTCATTGATTGTGCGACGCCTCGCGGCAACCCGTGCTGTGCCGATCAGCGCGAAGATTACGTGTGCTGCACCGCTATTGCCCTCACCGGCAAGCGTTCACGCGGTTCCGAGGTAGCGAAGATGACTTCCTATCAAATCTAATTCAGAATGCTGAAAGCTTTCAGTCACATTTGACTGCAGATGTGATTGCCTTTGATGCATCACACCCGCGATTGCACTCACGAATGCGAGCGAGCCGTCAGCGTCACAGCATTCGGCTCGCTGGAGACGTGCCCTTCCACCTGGTGCGTGCCGACCTGCAGGCATCAACAGCGAGCGGCGAGCGCGGTCTTGAGATCTGCAATCCCCACAGCCCTCTGTGCGCGCTAAAACCCTTATCTCGCGTCAAAGGGATCATTAAGCGAGCCGGAAGCGTGCACCACCACCCAAAAGATTCCGCCCGCGCATTGTACAGTACGGGCTGCTTCCGAACTGCGTCGCAACCACTGCTGTGACTGATCTTGAAGGTTCGATTCACATTTACAGCACCATCGTGCTTGCTTGTCGGTCCTTCTCGCGCTAACATGCAAAGATCAGGCTCCGTCCACATGGATGGATGAGGAAATCCAAAGTGAAACTACGGCAACGACGAGCGGCATAGCGCTCGCTCTTTTGCATGCACCCGCGCACTGGTACGCTTTGACGTCAGCGCCAAGCGATTCGTACACTCTGAACGCAAGATACGGTAGGGCGTGCAGTTCGGCGACTTGGTACCAAGTTACCGGCGAGTCGTACAGTCACGATTACCGCCTTACAGGGAACTTGCGAAATTTGCGATTCGGAGGGTGCGACTATATCGCTCGCAGCGAGCGGCCCGCGGTAGTAAAGAGTTCCTTCTTCTAATCCGTGCGGTCAGTCTTCATCGGGTTGCATCGTCGATGTGATTTGCACACACACAGCACCGATCTTAGCGCATCGCAAAGAGCGGCAGGGTGCGCATGAGAGGAAAGGAACGAACGATGGGCGCGGGCTACGGTCAATGCGGATTTCGCAAACCCTGAGCAGGGCTTTTCACATTCCCTTAGCGTCGTCCACGCGTTAGCTCGAGATAAGAAGATGGCATCAAGATCCTGCGCCGGGACCAGCAGCGTGGACGTGGAGATCGGGATCACATGGGGTGTAGCGTGAACAAGCCAGTCAACCGCTTTCAAATGCGGTCACGAGTCGCTTGAACGTGCTGTCGATCCATAGTAAAGTGACCTCGCATCGCGCCATTTCCATTCCCTTTCCTGCGAATGCGCCAAGCGGAACGTCGAGAGAGCCTTGGAAAGAATTGTGCTTGGCGGCCTGGAACATTCCGACTTTTGACGGCCCTCTTTGGTCCAAGCCAAAAGAATCTTCTCGGCGAATGATGGCTGGCAAGGATCGACAAGTGTGGGTGCTAATAGGAAACAGCCTCATGCAATGCCAGCAGGAACAGCTAATAGTCACTGATCTGTGATGAGAGCTACGAGACAGTTCTGAAGCGAGCAAACAAATACCTTGTTGAGCCCGACCCACTCGTGTTTCGACGGGTGTCAAACAAACGGCTTGCTTTGTGTACCACCATTCGTCGAAATATGGAGC